AGGATTTCCATGGATTTGGCAAAGGTTTTGGGCACGGACCTCTGATGGTTGCACAGCACGGCCACGGCGCGGTTGGCTCGGTTGTAGGAGAGGAGCTTCCCAGCAACGTTGTCTTCAGCTGGGAAGAAGCAGGAAAAGCATCACTAAGGGCTCTTCCCTGGGATTTAGGGAAGGCAGAACAGCAGCAGGTTGTCAGCCTTTCCCACCCCTTTCTCCAGGGAAGGGCGATAACTGGTGTGGGAATCGGTGAAGGACAACCCGAGCATCACCGCCTGCTGCTGGGACTCGTCACTCACCCGCCCAAGGAGCTACAAATGGTGCAACCAACCAGCCAGACAAGGAAGAGGGAGACAAACAGTCCCATCTGGGCTCTAAATCAGTCAGAGTATCCCTGAGTTAAGCACTTCTCATCGTGGTTCCCAACTCGCTGCCCCCAAGTGTCGCAGCCCCATCAGTTCCATACCACCCTACAAGGTGGGGCATCATCTGCCCCTAAGGAGGGGTGGACGGTTCTTGGGACCCCAGTGGACATCTCTGAGCCTGCTGGCCACCTGAAGACCCCCAAGAGTGCGTTAACTCACGGTTGGTGAGGGCCTTGAGCTGCTCCTGCAGGGTGATGGAGGCGTTGTAGGTCCGGAACACCTTGGCCGTCAAACCATCCATCAGGTGCTGGAGATGTTTGTTCAGGAAGGTTGTCTGGGGGAAGGAAGGGAGAGGGGATAAAGTGTGTGTGTGTGTGGAAAGTCACAGCAGGAACTGGAGTGACAGGACAAGGGGGAATGGCTTCAAGCTGAAAGAGTAGGGTCTGATGGAATATTGGGAAGATGTTCTTCCCTGGGAGGGTGGGGGAGGGCCTGCCAGAGCTTGCCCAGAGAAGCTGTGACCCCTCCTTGCCCCAAACCCAGTTGTTTGTGGCAAATAGAAGGCCATCAGTGGTGTTTCAGAAGATCAGAGGTGAAAACTCACATTGAGGCTGTCAAAGAGGTCATCTGAGGGGTCTTTGTTCTTCATGAACAGCTGCAGGTTCTTGAAGACCTAAAGAGGGGGGCAGGAAAGGATGGTCTTGATGAGGGACAACAAGGAATTGTTTCCAGACATCTCCCTCACCTCTGTGTCCTCATCCAGATGGATTCAGATTCGCTCCCACTCTGTCACCAACGTTCCCAACTCCAAGGGCTGCTCCTGGTGCCCCCACTGGTGCTGTTACCTCAAATCTTTCCCACCTCTGACGCTCCAATTTCCCCCCCCAAACCACCATTAAAATCATCCATCCCTCGGGCATTTTTAAATATTTTGAAATATAAAAATATTTACATATAAATATACATGAAATATAAATTTATATTGATGTAATTAAATAGAAGTGAAGACATGTCAAGTTCTGGTGCCCAAGAGCCAACTGATGGTGCTCCAGGAAGAGCTTGGGACCTTTACTCCTCCCCCTCAAAAGAGGGGGGAATTCTCCCACCACCCTCTCAAAAAGAGGTAGGAATTCTCCCCCTACCCCCCCAAAAAAAGAGGTGGGAATTCTCCCCCTACGCCCCCCCAAAAAAGAGGTGGGAATTCTCCCCTCCCTCCAAAAAGAAGTGGGAATTCTTCCCCCACCTCCCCAAAACGAGGGGGGGGACCTTCTCCCACCTCCCCAAAACGAGGGGGGGGAACCTTCTCCCACCTCCCCAAAAC